CCGCGGGCTGTCCCGGTCGCTCTGCTCAGGTTCGTCTGAGGCACGGGGGAGCTCGCACCTTCCGCCTGGCTAACGTGTGATTTACCGACACCCTTCTCCCCCAGCGAGAGCCTCCTTCCCCCCCGGCGGGTTACAGTAGGTGCTTTTCTCTGTCAACGCCAACAGGATGCTGGAGCTTGCTCCTCTGTGGCACTGTGCGTGTGTCATGATCGTGTATTTTTTGAGTTGGTGGAACGCTATTTTGGAAGGAACTATTTCAGATTATTGTACTTGCGCAGAGTTTAAAAAGTTGTTTTACTTTTGTATGCCCTTGCATCAATCCACGCAATTGAGAAAGACCTAGTGTTTTTTGTTAGGCACTGTGTACGCTCATATTTCAGGTTTTATGAACTCCATCTTGTCTGTTGAACCTCAGCACAGAGATTGTTCTCTGGTAAAAAGAAGGAATATCGTAGTCACAGCAGAGTGCCTTACAAATAAAAGATGCAAGATTATTTGTTTTTTCTACGTGCAGGTGCTTAGCAGCTATAAAAATTCTCCTTCCAGTTCTCTCTCTTTCTACGGCAGACTGAAACTTTCAAAATGTATATGGCGAGTCCATTAAAAAGATTAAAGACCTAGAAATGACTTTGCTGAAGTCTACAAAAATTTGAAACTACGTATTATTCTCCGTGGACTTCCAGTGTGTTTGTTCAAGTGCCCTCATAAAGGATTTTTGTGGTTGTCATATTTTTCTGTCTTGGGCTTAAATTGACAGAGACAAATTCCTACTGTCCACTTCTTGGTGCTCTAGTGTCTCTGAGCTGCTGTTCACTTGGAAGCCAGATTTTCTTTCTTGCAACCAGAATCATCATTCAGCACCACTTCTTCCTCTATTCATCCCTTCCAGGGAAAGAGCTCTGTGCAGAGAAAATGTACTCAAGGCCACAGCTGTGGAGGTTACAGCGTTCTTAGAATTGGTAGTTCTTGTTGTATTAGTTTTCCACATCAAAAGTTTCCTTAAGCTTTAACTACTCCTATTTTAGCTGTTGAGCTCTGTTTAATGGTAGACCTGACTGATACTCATGCTTATTTAATACACATGTTTCTCTTTGCGTGACTTACCTTGGCTCAGTAAAAGAGAGCCCCGTAACTAGTAAAACATCAGATTTCTCTGTAGAATGATGTATGGAATCATGGAATTTCTGTGGCTGATGTCAAACTCTTATATCTGGTGGCATTTAGTGTTCAACAAGCTTGACAAGGTGGAACAGACTGCAACACATTCTGCATGGATGTTAATTGTCCAGTGTTAGTCAGGTAAATGAATGTAAGCTGTCTAAACCAGGCATTACTATTAATGATATATAACTTTTTCTTACAGTGTTACAATAACAGTTCTAAAGATTTTGCATCACTCGGCTCTATATCTTAAGTTTGTAATTAATACCAAACTTCGGGATAAGCAGAAAGCTTGAAATATTTTTGGATGCTTCCTTTCTGGACCTTATTTTAGATTACTTGCATAGTACCTCTTAATTTGAGCCCAAAGTACTTTGAAACTTTGCTGTTGGAGTTATGTACCTTCAGTGGCAGGCAGATGTTATGTCCTTTTCATAAGTGAGTAACCTCAAAACTATAGAGGTGAAGGAAGGGTCATACAAGTCAGTGGCAGACCTAAGATCTGCCTCAGGTCTGCTGTTCACATAGAGTGGGTTTATTTTGCATCCTGAGGTCAAGTATTCAAAACCTACAGAAATAAACAGACTAGCAGCATTGATTGGTATTTAATATTCTGTCACAAGCCTTTAAAAATTATCTTTAAGATAAAAGTGACTGTGGTTGTAACAACAAAGACAAAATACACCAAACAGTTTTTGTTGTGCCAAAACCAAAGCTGGCTCATTAAACGATTCTGGGTCTTTATAACTGAGCTTTTCTAAATAAGCTTTTTGATCACTGAAACTAGTTACCTATGAGAAAAGGATGTCTTTTGTCCAGATAATGCGCCTCTGTAACTAAGTTTATAGCAAACTCCCTGTATTGCTTCATGTCTAAAGAACATTCACTACAGTATAACTAACTCCCTTATAGTGCAAGCTCTCATATACAGCCAGTTTTTACTAAACAAGCAGAATTGCATTAGTGCAGTGAACTTAAAGAAATGATACTGTATGATCAAATTTTTCTAATAAATTTTAGTGAGCTGCCAGTTTAGGTTATACTGAGGCATTACAATTAATTTAGGAAGGTGTGCATGTTAATTTACTTTAAACATCAGTCTTAAATACTGCTTTCATTCACTTGAAATCCATTTTTAGGGAAAGGGGTAGAGTATGAGAACTAACATGTTTTTGATGTTTCTTGAGTTTTGTAAAAGCAATAGAGCACATATTTTTACAAATATGTCCAGTATGTGAATATGTATTTTGTGTACTCTTGTGTATTTGTTTATATTTTTTCATTCAAAGAAAATGAGTAGTTTAAAAAAATGGGATCTATAGGTTAATGCAGGAAATGTGGACCCCAGCCACTTGTGCAGGATTTTGTGCATATTTTGCTGTTCTGACCTAAAGGGCGGGGAGAAGTACATAAGATGGAAGCATTCCTTTAAGGATATGTGGAGAGCTCTAGCAGCAATTACACTGAAATGAAACATTTTGTTTACCGTCTGTTAAATTGCTTTAGCAGGGAATTTGTTTCTGAACTTTGCTTTTCTCCCAGAATGTCTTTTGGACTGGGTTTTTCCTGAGTTTCTGAGGATTGGGGATGACTTCTCAGTTCATGGATCTACCCTACCTTTTTTCTTCTTTTTTCTGGGTAGCCTTCTTGCCTGAATCAGCTGACCTATTTCTACAGAGCACAGTTGTTTCTTCAGACAGAAGAGTTGCTCATTCTTCCTGTGTCTTGTCTCCTGCTTCCCTCTCTAGATTTTGGTTTACCCTTTTTTTCAACCAGCTATCTGCTATGCTTTGTCAAGCCATATGGCCAGCATTGCTGTGATGATATTTCCCCATATCACATAATAATACCAATAGCCTTTGACCGCAAATTCTCTAGCTGGCGTTTTCATAGGACAGAATAATGTGTCCAACCCAAGTAATCTTTAAAAAAATATTTGCTTTCAGTTGTCCATTTCTATTCAACATACAAAATCTATTAATTGATAACTGATTCAGTTGCCTAGGCAGACCTACTTCTGATTTTAGTCAGTATCTCAAATGCAGTGGCCTGCATTCAGCTGCAAGCGTGCTGCTTTATGCTGCCTAGGTCTTTCTCCTTACCTTCTCTACATTGACCTTTGGTCTCTCCAGAGGTTGGTATCTCAATAAAATTGTTAGCTGGAAGATTGTGTCAAAGGAATGGAAATTCCAGGGCGTTCAAAAGGATTCCAAATCCTGAGGTTCCCTAGGCCTTGACAGGGCCTCCTTTGTCCCCAGTGGGAATGTTGTGTGTCTGCTGTTGTAGGGTACTCTGTCACTGAACAGTTTATTAAGGGGTTTAGTTCTTAAAACTAGTTAAGTTTTTGTGCCCATGCTACTTCTCAGGCTGTTCCAAACCCTCACACCATTAATAGTTAAAATACTCTGTATAATATCTGGTTGATGTTCATCTGTGCCCATTTTATATCCAGTTAGTAGTGTGTTAACTTTATTCTGTATTTTAAACATTTTTTTGGCTCAGCCTACTGTTTATCCCCAGTGCGACTGTGATTTTGGTGAGTTGCTCTAGCTCTAGTTTCTTTTTCTCTTGGATGATACCTTACGTGTAGGAGGACTCTTTCTCTACAGTATATAGAGGATGTGATTGGGTGAATATGATTTTTCCTTAAGACATGTTCACTGGGACCTGTTGATTTGGGGTTGCAAAGCTCTGCTCTGAGCTTTCCCATATTGAATAAGATTTCTCTCTTGGTGTGTTTTTTCTACTGTCTTTCATAGTATTTGCGTGACTGTTCTTAGTTCTTATAATAATTGGTCTCATACAGTTCTCACGTTTCTTGAACTCTTTGTACAGAAGAGAAACGCTCACAACTTTCAGCCGTACTTCCCCCACCCCCCCGCTATGAAGCTGCATAATGTTGTTGATGGACTTCTTGCTGAGGGCACCATACATGTACCATGGCAAAGTATCTTGGCAGAGTCTTCCTCGAGAGGGTGATTTTTCAGGTTTCTGCTCATGTTGGAAATTTGTGCTATCAACAGCAGTTCTGCGTGACTGCTAGTTGAGTAGGCCTGTGCAGTTCTAGTGATGTATGTCATGTGTTGATGTACTCGCAGTCCTTTTCCTAATGTA